ATATATATATATATATATAAATCTTTTTTAAAAAGATGTCATAACAAAGGGAAATTTGGAAAACAAAGAAAAGAACTTTGGAATACTAAAAAGGGTACCACAGAAGTAAAGGAAAAAAATCAACAGAATTGATAAAAATCTCCCAGGAAGTATAATAAAAAAGGAAAGCGATAAAAATAGGAAGGGTAGAGGGGAGAAACGCTGAGAGTTGAGAACCAATCCAGAAGGTCCAGTATAATAATGACCCCAGGGAGACCGACATCAAAGGAAGGTGTCAATAACAGTAACTCGAAGATTACTCCTAGAACTGAAGAACATGAATCCAACGACAAGTTTCATAGTCCAGATTGTGGGGTTTTGAAATAAATCTTGTGACCATTTACTTAAACTATATGCATGTGTAACTTTAATAAAGAAGTAAAAACTAAAACTAATGGTGATAAAAGAGTAGACACAAGGAGGAAGAGACAAGAAGTGAGTAGAAACAAGAAGTGAGTATAAACCTCATTTGCTGCCAAGTTTCTATTTAATCCTCCTCTGGTTTTATGTAAAAAATACAAAGTGGACAGTGTGTACATGTGTTAAAAGTCAGTGCATCATCAGACCTACATACATACTCATATTGACTGATTGTGTTCACATTGGTTAGAATTTAGGATCATTTTAATCCCGTTGTAAGTAATTTCTGACTTGATGACCATCACTGGTGTCAGTGAAAAGCCTTGGGTGTTGCCGAGTGCATTAGCCATTTGTGCCATTCCCACAGTGCTTCTGGTTACCCCTTCTGGGAGCTTCACAGGAGAGCTCCTGGCTTCCTTCTGAGAAGGTGCCAGTGACCAGCTCACGGGAGCTCTCTTCCACAGAGGCTAACATCGTTCCTGGGTCCAAGTGTCATTGCTGAGGCAAAACCAGCCAGAGATCCTTTCCCCAAGGCAGTAACACCAAGCACACTCAAGTCTGAAACTGTTCCAACAGGTGAAGGCCCTGGATGATGAGCAGAAGCCTTGCTAATGCTTAATCGACAAGTAGTGTCTTTTAACTGAGACGATTTAGGAGTTGTTTTTGTACCACTGTGTGAGTGTTTCCCAGCAGGTGAGCCTGTAGGGTGTTTATTAAATCTGCACATTCTATCTATATGCATCCAGTTGTCTTTGTCCATAGAATTCCATTAAATCATTCTATGTAACATCTTTCGTATCTGACATAGCCTTCTCACCTGGATAAGCATGAGGAATAAGCATTCCAGCTGCCACATCACTCGTAGTATCAGGAGTAAACTTGTCTGAAATGACTGTAATGGAGCATTGTGGGACCATTCTAGAAATGCACACAGCAGTAGACAGCCCCATCACACCTGCACCCACAACTGCAATCCGTGCTGTCTCCATAGGCCTGTGGGAAAGGAAAGGGCAGGCAGTAAACCTGGCAGCAAGGGTTACTCCACCCGGCACAAAGCTTGGGCCCCCTGTATGTTCCAGCCTTAAGTCCACAGCCTCTCAATGTTAGAGCCAGCCTGTCAGCATTTTCCCACTAGATAGTGGGAAGTGGGCAAAAAGGTCTCAATGGAGTTTTAGACAGTAGTGCAAAGTCAGCCTGGAGTTACTTTGAGAATACACAACGGGTCAGTAAGTTTGATTGGGGGGAAGATTTCTACACATTTCTAGTCTCTCCTAAACCACTCTCCCTGTCAGTATAAGTAGGAGAGGTTGGCAATGTCAGGAAGACTGAAATGACCGCAGAGTTACCATCTCTGCTTCCACACATCACCCCAGGAGCAGCCACTGAGAGGACATGACCCACGGGCAGGTGAGAACTCAGCTCTTCCTGCTCCCAAACTGGCTTTTAATTATCACAGTGTGATAATTAACTAGAAACTGATTCTAACTAGAATCTGATTCTCCTCCCTTCCCTGCCTCAGTCTCTGCCTTCTCCCCATCCCCCAACCCCCACCCACTCCATTCCTGGAACAACCACTCCTCCCACCACCTTTGAAGAACAGACTTTCTAGAGAAGAGCTGGATGCCTCTGTGAACTCACGCTGATTCTGGAACCTGGAGAGCCATCCATGGCCTCCTAGCCTCACCTACTTTGTGAACCAGGCCCAGTGAGTTCTTTTATTAGCTCCCTTAGCCTGTAAATAAGAGAGGCCCTCTAAGGTGGCCTCAGAAAGGGGACTCTTCTTGAGAGGCCGTGTGGCAGTGCAGAGGGCAGACTCCCAGGAGGCCAGGCATCCTGACACCGGCCCTCAATGTGGGAACTAGAGGGCCAAAAGCCCAGCCCTCTTCTGCCATGTTGCCTAGGGCAGGGCCCACGGAGCAGGTCCACATGGCTTCCCTGATTTGTTCCACTTCTGCTCCTGCTCTACTCCTCTCTGTAGGTCTCAGGTTGAAACTTCAGCCATTAGATCCCAAGTGGGCAGGTCTACAGGCCAGCTTCCTGGGCTAAGCCAGGCTGTAACCTGCCCTTTGTCACTGGCAGGAGCCAGGGCATCACGTCATGGGGGACAAATCATGGCCATCTACATGTAAGGTTCTTTGCACTGCGATTCTTTAAAGTTCTCCAGTGGCCTCCCTGGTGGCGCAGCAGATTGGAGCACTGCACTGTGAAGCTGGCTGTGGCCACTTCAGGGAGAGTTCGATCCCCTGACCTGGAGGTGATCCACATGGCACCGCAGACCTCTCCTGGCCCACCCGCTGCTCCCCTCAGCAGTGTACTTCATCAATCTGCCTGTTCTGCTCCCCCCTCTGTCGCTCGTGAATCCTCTCACCGCCTCTGCTCCCCAGTTCTGGCCTGTACCCCAGTTCTATATGCATAAATAAATAAATCTTTAAAAAACAACTTGGAAAGTTCTCTAATAATCTCTAACCAGTCATTTCTAGTTCTCAAGCATTTCCTCAGCCCGGGATTGATCTGATTGTTTGCCAATGGACTGGTGGGCTAAGAAGCAGCCGGATTACAGGGCAGAGGGACAAGCAGCGCAAGAAAGACAGCTGGTGGCAGCAGCCTATTGAACTCAGCCCCACACAGGTGTCCCGGAGTGAGAAGGCGGCCTGGTCCCTGATCTGGCTTTTGTTTGCACTTCAGCTCCCCTGCCCAGCAACCTCTTAAAATAGCTCTGACAAGTTAAAAGGGAAAAAAAAAAATAACCTGTGGCTAATAACAACCAGCTGCCAGGGAGGAGAGGCATGAGCCAGAAGGTAAGGGCACCCTCACCTCTCCTCAGTGAGCTGAGGATCACTTAATCCCATTAAAATACCCACACACACTCACAGAGTTATGCCCAGAATGGCCCCTGACCTGCCAGCAGGAGAATTCAAGTGCCTGTCGCCTCCGCAAAGCAGCGTTGGAACCCGCAGAAGGCCTGGCTCTGACACTTGTTTCTCAGTGATTGGTTGGCCTAGTGCCCCGAGAGACAGAAAAACTGCTTCCCATTGGGGAGTTCATTAAAGACATTGCCTCTAACCTTATTCTCCGCTGGCCCATACGCCTGTGTCTCCGTCACTCATTCCCCGGAGGAAGGGAGCCAGTGACCTCTCCGTGGCAGCGCTGTGGGCTGTGACTCTGCCAAGCCCCAGGGAGCTGACACACCCTTTGCACCCTTTGCTTTCTAGTTTATAAACCTTCCCACTCCCCATCAACTTGGGATTTTTCCAGCTGATCTGTAGGTAGAAATAACGGGTGAACCTGTCCAAATTCCAACAAGTGCCAGCTGGAAGCAAACGCTGGTTTCCTCACTCGGCTGCTCAGAACTAGTTGCTGTTTCCCGCTGGAGCTTGGCTCTACTGCGTCAGCTGCTGGGGGTAGGGGCAGATGCCGTTGTTGGTTACTAGGATGATGACCTAATTACTGCTGGAACAATGACTCCAGAGATAATCTAGAATAAAAGCCTTGCAGTTCTTAAACCCATTTGTTCCAAGAAGGAAACTAGGGGTCCACTTTGTGCTAGACACATTTTTTAAAAGATTTTATTTATTTATTTATTCATTGCAAGAGCAGGGGTGGAGGCCAGAGGTGCAGGGTGGAGGAGTGAGAGGATTCACCAGAGAGAGAGAGCGAGGAGCAGAATAGGTGGGTCTACTGAAATACACTGCTGTGGGGAGCAGCTGGTGAGACAGGAGGGCCTGCTGCGCCATGGGGGTCACCTCCCTGGTCAGAGATTGAGCTGCACTGGCTGTGGATAACTTCCTAGTGCTGAGACTTAACCCTTTGAGCCACCAGGGACACTTTAAACCAACAAGTTGATTTCTAGGGAGGCAGTTTAATGTATCCAAATAATACTAAAATAATACTAATATTGTAACAAATATGTAGTTAGCATGAAATGTGTACTAGATGTCTGCAAGATACCATAGAAACATCCATCCTATAAGGGAGGTAATTTTATTACTGTCCCCATTCTATAGATGAATAAATTAGGACTCCAGGTGTGTGTGTGTGTGTAAATATTTATATAGCTACATATATGTATGTAGATATTTGATAGCTTTCTATATATATGTATTGATTTGATAGCTTTCTATATATACATATATAAAATCAATCAAAAAATATTTACAGAGCAGTTGCTCCGTCCAAGGCACGCTGCAAGTGTGATGAAGGGTTTAACTTGGAACATATAAGGAAAATCCCTAGCTTTGTTCCTCATCCCTGCCAGAGAGAGGCAAGGGATGAGTGAGTGAAATGAATTTTCTTATAGAAGTAGAAGATGTCAGTAAATGTTAGTACAGTGTGGCCTTTAGAGATAAAATGAATGGTCATTGCTACCTTAGGGCAAACTTGATTAAGATATGGACCCCCGGGCTCTCCCTGGTGGTGCAACAGGTTAAAGCACCGCATTATGAAGTTCTCCAAAGCCACTGCAGCACAAGTTTGATCCCCGGCCAGGAGCTGAGCCACATGGCGCAGCAGACCGCTCCTGGCCCACCCGCAGCTCCCCTCAGCAGTGTACTTTGTCAGTCTGTCTGTTCTGTGGTTTATCTTCTCACCCACCATATCTCTGACTTGTATCCCAGTTCTGTAAGCATGAATAAATAAATCTTAAAAAGAAAAAAAGACATGGACCACAACTCCCAGGCAATAGGTGTGGGAATTACCATAAACCTGGCTTCCATTATTGAACTTTCACAAACTTCTTAAAAGATGCTCCTCTTGTCATTTTCGAGAGCTTATTAAGCAGTATTCTGTTATGGCAGAATGAACTAATACAGAACATTTTTAAAAGTCAGGAAAGTACCAAATATTAATTAAAAAGAAAAAATTAAGTGACGGTAGAAAACCAGGTTACAAATTAAGAAAAGTGAAAAAGATAAAGAAATGCCTCCCTCCTTTCTTCTTATAGTCTGTTTCCTTTTTTTTATTTTACAAGCAGAGGAAGGTTTTGGCTTTATTTTTTATTTTCTAAGTGGAAAGACCAAATGAAGAGCTGAGCAATTATCTAGGAGGAATTTGGCCTGAATTAATATAAAATGTCTCAGTAATTCAGGTCAAATCCCTCCTTTGATCACCTTTCCAACACATTTTAAGTGACATGTATATAATTATCTCAATCTTCTTTTTAACTTGCCTCTGCGGTAATACCAATATTTCATTGATTCAAACGCACTGGAAATCAGTCATTTCCAAGACTAAATTTGAAGTGCAAAGAAAAAAATAATGAACTTAGGACAAAACACAGTAAAGAAAAACCCCAAACCTATGGGAAATTTGTCATAAACGTGAAACAGCATTTTCTAAGGAAAAAATTATGATATAATTTTGCAGTTGAAGTGTCCCAGGCATTAAATGATATTTGTAAATGATGGTTTTAAGTAGAGTTGTGGGAAAAAATTTAGTTCTTAAAAAAAAATAAATCTATCAGTTTTCAAAAAGACAAGAATACTTAATCTTTTTTTTTCCCTTACACTGGCAACAGATCTGCTCAGTACTTAAAGCCAATTTCCTGGATGATCTGAAAACTTAAAATGACTGCATTTTACAACAGACTAAAATGCCACCGCTTCTCTGTGCTGCAAAAGAGACTTATGACGAGAATTTGGTAATGTAAGAAATGTAAAAGAATGTCAATCCAGAAAAAGTCATTCCTGGACCCTCGCATTCCTGTTCCTTAGCTACGAGATCAAACACAAGCATGTTTGTCAGCCTGTGGGTGTCGGGGGAGGCAAAATATCTTTTTGTGGCTCTAGTTTTAATGGTTAAATTAGGAGGACAAACATTCTTTTTTTTTTTTTTTTTGACAGGGCATTTCTAAATAAAACTTGATTTAGAGCTGCGATTCTCAAACCCTGTTACCGGTTTGCTCCCCTCTTCTCAGCACACAGTCCCTGAGGGAAGACCCACCCCAGCCCCTGCAGGAGGGGATCCTGAGGAGATGTGATGCTCCTCCAGGCCTGCGGTAGCAGGGAAAGCTTGCGAATCAGTGATGTTAAAGAACAGACATGGAAAAACATTTTGCAGCAAAAGGAAAGCTGTGCAAAACATGAGAATCCTCAGCCTGGCTTTTATTTCCTTGACTTTTACAAAACTATTGTTTTAACACTTTTTAAAAAAAAAAACTGAAAAAGACATATAAACAACGTGTAGGAGAAGAGAATGATACTCTTCTAACAAAGACACTGAGTAAGCGAGGTAGGGCTGGAAGGCACATGGGTGAATAAAGTAGGCACCTATTCACGAAGGCCAGGGCCCCGTGAATTAATCGCTTCTATTTTTTCCAACTCAGTATTGTTGGATATGGGAAACAATTTGCTTGAACTGGTATCTTTTCTTTCATGCAGGTTGACGGCCTCCTCCCACGTAGTTGTAAGAGGCTTTCCGAGGGTTTCGGGAAGCTTTACTGCTAGCAGTCCACTCACTAAGGCCAAAATTCCAACAATCAACTAGAAAGAATTTGAAAAATAATAGTTAATAGGTGACATATCAGAAAAGAAATGTCAAATCTCTAGGGTTTGTTGTTGGTGTGGTTATGCCTGACCATGTGGCTTCTCTATACTCCACATGTAAGTTTAACCATCCAGTACTTGCCTTTCTCCTTCTCACTTATTTTGTTTAGCATAACCCCTTCCGGTGCCATCTCCATGGTCACAAGCTGAAGCCCGCATAGGGCTCAGGATGGGGGAGAGGGAGGAGGAGGAGGAAGCACAGGGGTCAGATGGGGAGGACTGCGATGTTTTGGTGGTGGGTGTACGCGTTCACACACATCCAAAGAGTGCGATCCTGGACCTCTGAGGCATATGCACTGTCGTAAGCCAATACTACCTCCACAGAAAAAAATTTCTTCATTAAAAACACAACAAAGAAAAAAAGAAGTATACCCTTTAGTAAATAATCATTTCTGAAATTTTTTTCATAGGGCAACACGTTAATCTTGACATCGCCGTGGTTGGTGTTTTTAATTCCTCGGTGAGAACACTGGTACTTACTGGACAGGGAATTCCTGAACTCCTCCACTAGGCTTAGTCAGATCACACATTCGTTCCTTCACAAAAACTGCAGAGCACCTACTCTGTAACCCCAGCTACTGGCCATACATGGCTCCTGCAGGCGCTGTCCGAGGAGCATCTCAGAGCACACACCCTGTGTCCCTTCCCAGACTCCAGAGTCTCGTGGGGGCACCCAGCCCCCTGCCCCTGTGACCAGCATGCTTTCAGAGCTCAACAAAGGTGGGGAGCGAATGCCAATGTGCATGCCTGCTTCAAGGAGCCAGCACCTACATAGTTGGTGCCACAAAGCAAAGGCAACGGAAACTCATCACTACTGCCAGGGAAGGAAACCATCTAATCTTCTCAAAAAATTCAGTACTGGCCCTCCCTGGTGGCGCAGCAGGTTAAAGCACGGCACTAAGAAGCTTAA